TTTACATTCTTAGCATTAGCTACCAAAATGTCACATCACTTGAGTTTGTCATATGTTCATTTTGTCCAAACCTTACTTCAAAAAAAAAAAAAAAGTTTTTATTTTTTTTGCAAAGTGAAAAATATAAGGTTATGTCATTTTGCAGTCATGAATAACTGAGTTTGCTATATTGCATGATTTATGTTATGTAAAGAGCACACATTGACATTTTTGGTATGTTAATCGATGTGCATCTTCAGCAGTACACTGATATATTACGCACAGTATTTTAGTATCTGTTTATTCTGAATTCACCCAAAAATGAAAACCTGTGCCAAACATGAATGACTTTGTTTCTTCTGTGGAACAAAAAATAAGATATTTTAATGAATGTTTCACCTGCTTTTAGTCATACAATGAAAGTCAATAGGGTCCAAAAACAACAATATTGAACTCCACTGTTCAATTATTTTTCCACAGATAAAATAATGTTTGGGAACGAGGTAAGGGTGTCTAAATGATGACAGAATTTCCATTTTCAGGGGGAACTATCCCTTTAAAGAGACCAAGTATAATAAATGAATCCTCCAGAGTTACACTGAGTAGGCAAATAACCCACATGCTAATCTACTAATCTGACTGAATTAAGTAGTTTACTCAGCATCAACGATAAATTACAGAGGCCTTTGTAATCAAGTTTCCTGGCATGGGCACGCATGCATTTTTATTGTAATGAGTAATTCCAGAATGCTATCGGGGGAAACCACTGAGAAGATATAAATCACCCCAAGCATTTTGTTTTTGAACATAGAGTTGAAGTATGCTGAAGGATTTGGTTGACTGAACAGAGATAACCGTATCGAATGAGAGAGAGACCACCTGAGGCACTGTATTGATTTAACAACACACTTCCAAAGTGCAAAAAGATGTATGTATCTCCCACTGGGAGCAGCTTTCTGCTGAATATTCACCCAAATTCATGCCCCCTTCCATCTTTTTGAAATTTTTTGGGCATTTGGGCCATCTCTGATATGCACTGCATGGCAAACGGCTTCTGCTGCGGGCCTCCTTTGCGCCTGAGGGAAAAGAGAGAAGCTTGACCTCCTTCACTGTGAAAACCATCATTTTGTCTTTGAAAATGAGACATCTCCACAAAAGACTGTCCTGGGGTCAGTCTAAGAGCCAAATCACCAGTGTCTTGGCGGCTCGGTGGCCTCCTGGTCATTGATAAATCGTTTGATGTTCTTCAGGCCAGCATGTCCTGTGGTGATCTGGCAAAGAGTGAGTAGCCTCTCTCAGTGCCTGTCTTTATCAATGTCAGAGATGTGGCCGAAGAGGCCGTTGTAACCTTGGGGTTGACTGATGGCCTGAACATCGCCTTGAATTGCTTGTGCATGAACCTCCCGAGGAACAAATAAACAAAGGTGCTTTATCAGTCAGTCAGGCCATATTAGTCAGGTCAAATACCACTTTTTCCAGTACTTGCCCGATACCGATACTTTTATTTTTGGTACTTGCCGATATCGAGTACCGATACCAATATTTTCATTGCATTTGTACATTTTTTAAATATTGGGTACAGAAACCAAAAGAGTATGTATAATGTTAGTTGGTTAACTTAATTTATCAAATAGATACAGTCAAACCAAAATTTATTCAGACACCTTCAACATTTCTCATGATGCGTGCTAAGTGAACGAACATCAGTAAAGATCACACAACAGAAGTGCGCACGCTCTCTCTCTCCCTCCCTCCCTACCATTAAGTAACTTGTGCATTGTTTTACTTACTTCTTTTTGACATATCCGACCGAACTACAAACGTTCCAGTGATGTCTGTGAGAAAGGGATATTCACTCGACAAGCTCACGCATCTGCGCCGACGCACGCTCAGTCCACTCAGAGTGATTTGCTTACTAGCTGGTGCAAATCAGCTATACAGGCATTAATACTGAATGTTTTATATTCATTGCATACATATACTTCGTAGACATCTTTAATCTCTAATAACTCCATTCTGCTTTCTGTTGTTCTGTGTGGTATTGGCTTTTGGTATTGGAGCATTTTAACAAGTATGAGTACGAGTACGAGTACAGGAGCGCAGCGTCGGGCCCGATATGCATCCCAAATGTTCAGAATAAACCACTAACCCTGCATGGGCCATAATAAAAATGAAGTTTGCTTCAGTAAGGCTCCCTATAAATATAAAAAATAATTCAGGTCGATAAAATGTTTTGTTTTTTTTTACATTTCACAACATAATGTACATTTTCGATTTTATGTAGATTTAAGGGTCAATTAAATTACACTTTTTTTGTTTGGATCTATTATTCAAAATTCATAAAAATTCTTACATACAGTAACTTGTTTTTTAGGGGGCATAAAGTAAAAATTATCCTGATATCTTAATGAAGAAAATAAATTATTAAAGGAATTAAATTCTTGAACAGAAAACTTTTGTTTGCCTTATTATTATTATATAAAATCAGTATTTTAACAGAATTGCTTCTGTTCTTATTTATATTTGAAAACCTTTTTTCTGTAGTCAAGTAGTGGAACCAACAATGCCATGTGGTGTGAAAATAATAATTAAGATGTTTACACACATATATTCAAGAGTATTTCTAAAATTTTGGTACATGTTATGTAGTTATTTATTTATTTTTCTTTGGACACTCGTACATGTCATTGACCCATAAACATGACAGTATAGAGAGCTTATGATAATTAGCATTGTAAGAGAACTAGAGTTGAAACTGATCACAAAAGTGTGTCTTTATCAACATAAGAGAATTGTGTTAAAGGGATGGTTCACCCAAAAATGAAAATTCTGTCATTAATTACTCACCCTCATGTCGTTTCAAACCTGTAATACCTTCGTTCATCTTCGGAACACAAATCAAGATATTTTTGATGAAATCCGAGAGCCTGCATAGACAGCAACGCAACTGTCACATTTAAGGAAGAAAGGTAGTAAGGACATCATTAGAATAGTCCATGTGACATCTGTGGTTCGACCTTAATTTAATGAAGCTACAAGAATACTTTTTGTGCGCAAAGAAAAACAAAAATAACGACTTTTTTCAACAATCTCTTCTCTTCCGTGTCAGTCTTCGACGCTCGTTCACAAGTGTGTGGTGCTGCTGACGCAGGAGCCGGCGTTCTGACATAGAACCCGGATGCGCTGCGCCGTGTTTACAAGCAGAGGAATGCACACGCATGCGTTGTGGTATTGTCATGAACGCGTGTCAAAGACTGACATGGAAGAGAAGAAGTTATTGAATGAAGTCATTATTTTTGTTTTATTTGCTCTTACAGGTTTGGAATGACATGAGGGTGAGTAATTAATGAGAGAATTTTAATTTTTGGGTGAACAGAACAGAATTTGTAGTATATTTTGTATCATTTACATAATTTATTTTGCATTCGTTTGCAGCTTGTAATTTTGATTTATTTGTAGTATCTTAAAACTAGCAGATATTAGGTATTAGATAGCATATTATCATCAAATAATGTAAACTAACAAAAATGAATGAGAGAGGTACTGGTGCGGGTGCTGTTGTGTGTCAGTTGTATATTCAGTCTGAACAAGTCAGGAAGTTCCCAGCTCTGGGGGAGAAGCGGGGCTGAATACCAGGCTTTCCCCTCTACTGTTCCGGCTTTGTACCCTCACCCCAGGCCTCAGCCCACCAGCAGCCGCTAATCCAGTTTTGATAGCATTCACGGCCCCCCCTCTGTGCCGTCCTGCCTGCCTGCCTGCCTGCCTGCCTCTTGTCATACAGACACACACACTCACAGACACTTGCCGATGATTTAGATGCGTACACACGAACACATACACCACTGTGGGACAAAATTGTACCAAAATGCCTATGGCTGCATTTTCTTATTCTCACTAACTCCATAGAAATGAACCCCTCAGTAGTCTAAAATGGCACCTTGATTGATGAAAGCCGTCTGCTCCCAGCAACCTTGTGGCTAAAGAATAACCGCATGATGTAGCAGAAATGCAACATATGAAAAGCTGAATTTAACCAATGTCCAACTTTCCTTGGTAATCGGCCCTTCTAGAAACAAAAGGAGGAAAAACAAGATGACTTCATTCAGAGCTTGTGTATTTACCATGTAATTTAGCACAAATACAAAAAAAAGTGTGTATGCTTCAAAGCAGCAGATGACTACATAGATGCCCAGACGTCATTTTGAACACATTCATGTTTTCTGTTTTGTTAGCCATGACAACTGTCTTAAAAAAAAGGAGAATGGCATTGTCTGAGGTCGTAAAACTTTCTCTTCAAAAGAGATGACCATAAATGTCTTAATTGTCTCCAATTGTAAGTGACAGTAACTTGCATCTGACCTTCGAGGTCAGGAACCTTAAAGGAAAAGGGTCAGTCAAACAGTGATATTATATTGATTTGCAAAGTCTTAAAAGGATACTTCACCATTAAAATGATTTATCTCCAAACCTATATGCTGTTATTTTTGTTTTTTAAAAAGGAGGATTTTTATGTGGAAGCTGCATGCAGGCTCTTTTCCATACAATAACAGCTCCAAAAAGAACAACAACAAAGAAAAACATCAAGGCTGTCTATACCAAAGTCTGGTTTCATTTTAACAAATGCTGCTAAAACCTTATAATAATGTATAATGTCATATATTTGTACAATGCTCTAATTGTCTGTACAGAACTTTAGAGTATGTATTTTAGCCCTTATTACGCTGTACGCTTGCTTTGAATGTGTGAAATCTTTGTGCAGGTACCATAAACACGAATATACATATAATTTTTCACTTTTGTATATTGAGCTTATATTTTATACATTGAGATAAATGTATGATTTATATATTGTAATAGTAACCATTCATTAATGCACCACACTGTCAGATATAAATGAAAGATTAACAGTATCAGAGGTATGAAATTGTAAATCTCATTGGCTTCATTTGTATTTATGCAGAGGGAAGTGTTCTCATCCAGATGAATGGTCACTAAACTGTATATATTCTTTCTCTCTTCAGGAATGCCAGCTGTTCTCACTGTTGCTGGCCTGGTTCTGATGCTGCTCAACGCAAGTGTCAGGTCTGAGTCGGCAGAGCTGAGGTTCCAGGGCCAGACTCAGTTTGTTGTAAATGAGAGCAGCAGGGCCATAGTGCGACTTGTGGTGGAACGAGTTGGAGAACCAGTTAATGTCACTGCTCTGGTTCTGGTAAGTTTAGAAAAACCATCTGCATGAATGGTTAATCCTTGTCACGTATCTGTATCTGCCAGTTTAATTTGATTTATTATACTGTATATATAGCAAAACTGGTTTAATTCAAATAAGGTATTTTACATTTAATTGTATTATGCTGCTCAAAATGTTCCTGGATCATTCTCAGAAAACTGTGTTGGTGCAATTTTGTTTCGTTGGTGCAAGTCATACTGAAATTCGAACTACTGAAATTGAACTTTATGCTTATATTTTGAAAAGAACTAGTAAATCCTCATAGTGAACGTATCTTGTGATAAATAGCCCAATAGATAAATAAACAAGTACATAAAATTATAAATCACAGAGGGGGAAATGCAGGGGACATTCTACGTTTTCTCATAGAATGCAAATCAAATTTTGTTTAAATAGAAAACATTTTATTTTTAAATAAAAATATTTTTAAAAGAATTTTGTTTTAGTTTTTTGTGAAATACTGGCTGACATTCCAGTGAAAATCTAAGTTCTTTTAAACATTTTGTCTGCATTGCGCAGGGTTAAATCTGTTAAATAATTTCACCTGTGCTCCTGTTGGCACTGTTCCCTAAAAATAACCCACCTAAAAGTACATGATGAATAAGAAATGGTCATAGGAAGCAGAGTGAAACACATTTGATGTAGGCGCCACATAGTCCTTTTTTTAGCTAACAGTGCTTCTGTACTGCCTGATGTGTTAATGCCTTAACAGCTGGTTGGGGCTCAACATCTGTCTGGTAAATCATAGCACAGCACATATGGCCATAATTTGCATAGAAACACAAATATGCCTACTGTCAAAGCAGGCAGTGCCTGTTTAGCACGCATTGTAAGTGCGCAAGTGTTGCAGGTTCATTGAATGGTATCCATGAATTCACAGCGGAAAGAAGAATCTAAGAGCCTGTTGTGTAGCAGCTTACAGTGGGTGGCATCAAAGCATATGCTGGAGGTGGCAGTTGTCAACCAGATGGTGCTGGATGAGTTTAAGTGAGGTCAGGGATTTCCTGTCTTACAATTTGAGATCTTGTATATAAAACCGTTTTCTCCCAAAGCAAGTCTTTCGTTCAACATGTTCTGAAATATATCTTAAAACTCATCTATGATTTAAAAGAATTGTTCCCGAAACCCAAAAATAAAACAATTGATGACTGTTCTCATGCTCTTCTTTTCAATTTGACGTTCTGTGTTTGACCAGCTTCAGGGAGAAGACACTGGTGACTTTGAGGCCACAACTGCAGCTGCTTTTCTCCTGTCATCTGAAAGCAGTAAAACCATCTTCATCGCTGTGAGGGATGATGACATACCTGAGGCTGATGAGACCTTTGTGTTCAGCCTCCGTCTGCAGGTAATGCTTGAACCAGGAAATTGGTATAGCCCAGTGGCTAAAGATCTGTGCATATAATTAAAAGGGTTTAGATTCAAAAACAGTAAAAAAAACAATAAATAAATAAATACAATAAATAAAATACATTTATATCTAAGCATCCATAAAAACAGGATAAATATAAAGCAATATTATCCCATTAGCAAATTGATTTGTTTTGTTCAGTTTGCTTTTATTTTTGTATTTGCAGTTTTCATTTTGATTTATTTTTTTAGTCAGTTTTTATGTGCCTTTCTAAGGGTTAGGTAATGTCCCTGCACTAGCAACCTTACGTTAGAAGTCACCTTCAAGCGAAATAACCAACTGTGACAGCCACAACTGGCACTGCCGTAAGATTAAAGAGCCATTATGCAAAGATAATCACTATAACAAAAACACAGGCCTGGAAATAAGCTTCCTATAACACACAAAGGAGAAGAATCTCCTAGGAGCTTAATTTATCCACCACCAGCAGCACCAGACATAATTGCAAAACTAACACCTATTTCCAAAAGGTTTCCCACAGGTTTTATGCCATTAGTTGAGCCAGATGTTGACATATCAGACTGTTTGACCAAACAGACACTGGACATCATTCATTAATAACTGTGTGGATTATTGGTATTAATACACACAGGAGAACTTGCCATGAAAAATTCTGCCTAATTCACAACGTGCACACATGAATTTGTTCTAGTGGTCGACCGATATATCGCCAAAGCCGATATATCGGCCGGTATTTGGCTTTTTTCAAATATCGGCATCGGCCGATAAGTTTTTCTGTTTGGCCGATGCATTCTCCTTCTTGTTCGCCATCGTCGTTAACAGTTCTGTCTAAATACGGATAGAAGTCTGTCTAATAATCAGATAGAACGGTTAAACAAAGGGATTAAAATGTATACAGAAAGCATTATAACGATTGCTTTTATATTATTAGTAATAGAAAGGCAAACATTATAATACTTTCTCGTTTGTCGTCAGCATTCAGCAAATATGCATTTACATAATTTAAACAAATCTTTGAATGGCTAATGAAAATTTTATTTCACAAATCTTGCAAACTTAGTCGAATCCAGTTGTGAGATCTTGTGAAGTGTGCATGTGATCTGCATGATCGCGTGTTCTCTGCGTGACTTTAGGTCTGTGCAAATTCAATGCTTTAAACATTAAATTCGTGATTTCAAATTATGCTGCGCTTTATGCATTTGCCCACTGTCATATTCATGTCATTTTCATTGTGTGCTGTACGTAAAATGAGTGTTACCTTGGCTTTATTTGAAAAAATATGATTCCCAATGCACACAAACTTCCCAGAATACTGAGTGCTCTGTTGGTTACAGTTTACTTCCTTTATAATTATATTTGATTAAATATTTATTTATTTGTGAAAAATACTTTGTCAACTAAAGTATAAGTATGTTTATTTTACACGTTTATTTTTTAATCCATTTTCTAATTATTTAACATTTCTTAAATATGAATTAAAATAAATACAATTATATCGGCTTTATATCGGCCATCGGCCACCCTGCTTTCCAAGATATCGACATCGGCTTTCAAAAAACCAATATCAGTCGACCACTAATTTCAGGGACACTACTGAGCTGCTAAGAATTCGAAGGAAAAAAGGCAAGCAATTTACAGAATGGATTAGCGTGTTAATAATGTATATTTCAGTGTTGTTATGGAAACCAACTGCTCATACTATCATATTGACATAATTGTCCCCTTCTTTTATTTATTTATTTTCTTATAAATATTTTTTACCATTACAAAAAAAAGTAAAATAATATTTATTATTATTTGATTACAATGCAACAAAAAAGTCCCTTTTGCTTGCCAGATATCACTGTTTCAAAAAACCAATATCAGTCGACCACTAATTTGTTCTTAACCTTGTTCTAATGTTAATGAATTTAGAGTGTTCTAAATGAGAGACTGTGTGCCCAAGGCTAGTAATTTGCATAAAAATCACCAAACCATCTCCATGAAATATATTTAAGATGAAATATCTGTATAAAAATGTTATTTATACAGATTGTAATTGATGTAATTGATTTTTAAGTATTTGTGGTTTCAGTTGTTCCATTTTAGAATCAATTTTAGTTTGAACATTATTGATAAATCATGATTTGTTCATGAAAATGTTCATACACATTTTACACACAAATGTGTGTGTACTGTACACATGATTAGTAAATGAGACCTGCTATTTAGAAATTTGAGGAGAAATCAACCTACAAATAGCTTACATTTAGTCATCTCATTTAACATCAAACTGAGACAACGGAGGTATGACACTCATAACATTTCTGTGTTGTCAAAGGGTGTGTTTCTCATAGCAGTATCTCATTTAAGGGCCTCTTTTTACTGTGCTGTCTCAGTCTGTTGACAGTGAGTGATTAATGACAACAGGTCATGGTTCCACTGTCTACTTGTCCGCTGTTTAACAAATGAACCTCAGGCTGGCCGAATGGGACAACTCAAGGGTGACAAAAGACCACGGGCATGAAATTAAACCCAAGCTGAATGCACTAAAAGGAAATCTAGACAGTCCTTAAGTGTAATTTACATGAAATATATGCTAATTATGGATAGATAGATAGATAGATAGATAGATGGACATGGTTGTTTTATTCTGTATTTCCTGTGCTCCATTATCTCACTCATCATTTTATCATGAAAAGGTCTGCAAACAAATCTGACAAATGCCTGTTACTGGTGGGAAATGAGGAAGAGTGTTTGCGTGCTGTGGTGCTGAGCTGGACATCAGTCACGGTTAGCGCAGGGAATTGTCCGAACGTGTGTATTCCATGTCTGTGTTGCCGCTGCAGCAATAGCTCTGCCTCTGAAAGAAAGCTCTTGTTACAGCTGGGAAAAACTCCTTTGAATGGGGTGCTGAAAAGAGGGTCCATACGGCTTTACGTTTTTACGTGGTCATGCTCCGTTTATCTCTTTTTGTACTCTGTATCACAGACTCTTGTACACTCTTTAAAAACTACAATGTTTAATCTGAAATTCAAATTTAGCATTTATGGTGGCAGAAAAAAAGTATGTGAAATGAATTTTTGCATGAATGTTTATAGAATTTGGTTTAGACTAAACTGTAATATATTTATAACTCTAACCAAGCAATGCTTTACTTTTTCAGAGCTCATCAAATGACGTGATGGTGGGAACTCCAAATACTGCCACAATCACCATCCTGTCTAATGACAATGCCTTCGGAATCATTTCATTCAAATCAGTAAGTTTCTTTCTCTATTATTTCCTCAATGAGCAGCGGGAAGAAGCTGTTCAGAGCATGCTGGGGATGGGTAAGCCTGAACTGTTTTTACTTGTTTTGTGGGGGGGTAATTAAATTGGAGGGAGTGTGTGTGGTTATTTATTTTCTTATAAATATTTTTTACCATTACAAAAAAAAGTAAAATAATATTTATTATTATTTGATTACAATGCAACAAAAAAGTCCCTTTTGCTTGCCAGATATCACTGAACGCATCACTGATCATATGCTGAGAAATATCGCCTGCTCCTGTGACAGCAACAAAAATAAAGTCAGGAAAGCGGCCCACCCTTTTATTAGCCAATCAGAAGAACCAATCAGGAAAGCCAGTCTCTGCTTCTCTGCTATTTACATGTTCAGGTTTGCTGACATCAAATTGGCTGTCATGTTTTGGAAAGCAGGGTTGTGGTAAATAAGGTGTCTTTAAGTTAGCAAAATGGTGAAAGTTCAGAATTCAGGATTATTTACATTCCTTTTAATTTACAGTCATATAATGTTGTTTCCCAGTAATGTTTTATAAACTGTCTGAATATTTAATATTTCTAAATTAAGTAATTTGACTTTACACAGTATTTCATATGGCAGTGGTGTCCATTCCTGCTCCTGGATGGCCACTTTCCTGCAGCGTTAGCTTCAACCTACCTGACTAGGGCTGCATCTTAATATGCATACTTCCCTACTATATAGTAGGTTGAAAACAGTTGAAATGGTCAGTATGGCTGAATTTATACTGTATTATTTGTGAAACAGTAGGCAAAATGGATGACATAATGACATAATACTAATTGCAAGATTCAGAAGTGTGCATTCAGTGGTCACTTTACTATCCTATGAGGCCACGGGAGAGGAGTTCTGAATGTTAGTGAAACAATGCAACTGAAGCCGTTAGTCACATGACAATGTAGGATGTCCAGATTACATTCATTCTACACACATAACTTTAACTCTGGCAAAGTAAGTTCTATTTCAAAGAAGTACCTACTCAGAGAGGATGCCATGTCAGACATAGTCTAGAAGTTTCTAATAATCCTGAAGTCTGAGATTAGTTGGTTCAGGAGAGATTATTTAGGGTTGTAGCTAAACTCTGCAGGACTTTGGCGCTCCAGCAGCAGGACTGGACACCCCTGTGACAGGACCTCTTGTCATAATCCATTAAAGCAGTTTCTGATAACCCTAATTTCTAATGCTGTCAGTACATACAGTATGTACACCAGTGAATTGTTTTTTTCTCTTTTAGACCTCCCTTATTACTGTGGAGGAGCCAAGAGGTAGAAGCCAGTATGTGCCTCTCACTCTCCTTCGAGAGAAAGGAACCTATGGTACTGTGACCGTCAACTTTGAGGTGAGCGTTGCCAGAGAGTTTGTAACTGCTAAAAAAAAAAGGTTCATATTCATGAGATTGCATATTCTCTATCTGTATTTATTTATTAATTCACAGATTTTTGGAGGTCCAAACCCTGCAAGTGAGGATCTCAGTCCAGACATCGGGAACATCACTATTCCTCCTGGTCGTGCTGTTGTAGTTTTCAGCATCATGATACAAGATGACAAGGTACTTTTTTTTATTGAATAGACATAAAAGAAATCACATGAATAATGACAGCTTAAAGTTAATATGAAACCCATTTTTTCCCATAATGTGGCATATTTCTGAGAAAAATAATAATGAGAAAACCTGCATGCTGAGACTTGATTTCATCCATTTACAATTGATTTGATTATGAGAAATTGCTGATTATGTTACATTTCGTGACTGTTGGAGAGGAAGAACTGAAAAATGAAAGGACCAGGATTATGTATTTTTTTTGTATGCCATAAAATGACTCTTTAAAAGATGATTTAAAATCAGAGAAAACATAATTTTGAGAAAAAAACAAAAAGCAAGTTGTCAAGTAGATTCACAATAAAGCCCCGTTCACACTGCCAGAGACACGCAGCGACAAAGCGACATGATCCCATTCATTTTCAATGGAGAGCTGGCAACTTCCGGCGACACGAGTGACAGTGACCGTTGGCGACAGAATGTGGGCGTGGCGAACGACAGGAGTCACGTGACAACAGTTAAGATCAGTTTAACTTTATTCAAATGAACAGCGAATTTCTCGAGCGATAACCAATAGGAGTGAAGAATCTGTCAGTGGCGCTCACACGTCACCGTCTCGAGTGCAGGCAAGACAGGACAGAGTTCCGGAGCGATTTCACTGTTTTATATGATTTAACCTTAACCACATACATGGATATTAAAAATGATGCATGGAAAAGAAACTGTTGGCAGTCTTAGTGAGTTTGATTCATACATTGATGGTTCGTGTTTAGCACTGGTTAATGATTTAATGCACTGAGCGCTGCTGTAGTTTAAGTAACACTCACCTAAAAACAGCAGATTGCTACTTTTATTTATTTTAAGTCTAATTCCTAGTTAAATTAGAATGATATCTTAGTTTTACCGGCTATATATATATATATATATATATATAGATTGTGATTGTATTTTCTAAGATATGTCCAGACGTGCAGTCTACCAATGACATTAGAGCGACAGCACTAGGAACGCCCACAAGTGTCTACACAGTACAGTGTCTAGCGACATACAGCAACAAAGTCGCTGGCGGTGTGAACGGGGCTTGAGTTTGACACACTGATTTTTACTAAATGAACAGAGAAGATGTTCTGCATTAGTCTATCATAATATGTGTTGTTTTTGATCTCACATCCCACTAGCTTCCAGAAGAGGATGAGATCTTCACGGTGCGGTTGACAGAAGCAGCTGGCGGAGCTTTACTCAATCCTAACAGAAGCAGTGTTCAGATCAAGATCTTCCGTAATGATGCTCCCATCCGCTTCTCCAAGTCCACACTGGTTGTCTCGGAGAACATCGGTGTCATTTCTCTTAGCGTCACACGTGGTAGAACTGAGGATGGTCTTCTGATCGGCTCTGATGACAGAACGGTGTCTGTTGCCTATGCAGTCATTACAGGCAACGGGGCGGCCAGTGCTACTCCACTGGAAGACTTTGTGGATCTACAATCAGAGAGGATGGTTGTTTTCCCTCCAGGGGTCCATGAAACAGAACTCCGCTTCAACATCAAAGATGACAACATTCCGGAGATTGCAGAATCTTTCCAGGTGGTTCTTTTGGAAGAAACCTTACTGGGTGACACAGTGCTGATGACTCCAAGTGTGGCACTGGTGTCCATTGAGCCCAATGATAAACCTTATGGAGTCTTGTCAATCAGTCCTTCTCCCATACAACCCCACGTCATCAATGAAGACCTGACCCCGATGTGAGTAGTGTACTATTTATAGCAGAGGTCTTCAACCCTGCTACTAGAAACTCACTGTTCTACAGAACTTTGCTCCAAACCTAATCAAACACACCTGAACCTGCAAATCAAGGTCCTCAGGATCGCATGGAAAATCATAGCCAGGCGTGTTGAACCAGGTTGGAAATAAACTTTGCAGGACAGTGGGTCTCTAGGAGCAGGGTTGAAGACCTCTTATTTACAGTGTAAGGACATTAATGTGCACAATGTGCATTAATGTGTACAATCTGCATGAGCATTATTGCAACAGGTCATTATTTAATTAATAGGGGGTAAGTTTATGGTTATAAGTCCAATCCCTTTTGTTAAGCCAAATGCACAAGGCAGGTTGTCAAATCGTTGCACCATTACTGAAAAAAAGGTGGATCACTTGAACTCCAAGGCCTTCACTCCCATTAGTAGTCACTACTCATTTCAATTCAATTTATTTGTATAGCATTTTTTGCAATACAGATTGTTTCAAAACAATAATTTTAACTTAAAAATATAGGCATTTATACAGTACTATTCAAAAGTCTGAGATTTGAAAGATTTTTGGTAACACTTTAATTTGGCAACCAATTCCCACTATTAACTAACTATTAACTGTGACTTCAGCCTCAATAAACTCAAGGTTCGCTGCTTATTAATAATTAGTAAGGTGGTTGTTATGTTTAGGTATGGGGTATGATTAAGGGACCTAAAATATGGTTATGCAGAATTATAAGGCATTAATATGTGCTTTAAAAAATACTAATAAACAGCCAACATTCAAGTAACATGCATACCAAGGCTGCATTTATTTGAACAGAACTACTCTTGTGATGGCAAATCTGAATTTTCAACTGCCATTACCCCAGTCTTGAGTGTCCCTAGTGAAAAAAAAGTATACTTTATTGTATTTATAATATATTACCTGTTTTAATAGTACACTGCAAATATACTAACAAAAAAAGTACTATCTTTAAATATATAAAAAGTATATTAACATCATGCTTTTGTCTATTTTCACAATACAACTTTTAACACACTTTAAAACAATTGTAATTTAGTATATTTTCTAAAAATATATTTTACAAAAATATACTTGAATTGAAAGTTCTGTTTATTTTTTATAAGTATATTTATTTGCACTTTACTTAAATATATTTTATGAATATTTTTTAACTGTGTGCTGAAAATGATCATTGTAACAATGCATTGAAATTATACTTTCAAAGTACATTATTAAATAACCTGAAGTTGTAGTATATTTTAAGTCACATTTTTGAGTACATTTTAAGTTTACTTCTTCATGCTTGGAATTCACTTCATTATTTGGACATACATTGTTTTCAGAAAGTAACAACACAAATATAAAGTGTACAGTCACGTAAGCACTGTCTATATTGCATGGCCAAACAACAATTGGCATTGATATCTGTATAAAGCTGCAGAAGTAGTTCCCCAGAAATCAGTTTTTAGTCTCTTTCAATATTGTTTGGAAGTGGAATGACATACAGCTTGTCTTTAGACCTAATAATTACACATTTACACTTGAGTGATTGAGGATGGACAGCAAATACATTATGAGACACTATATAAATGTTGACACTGTAAAAAAAATTCAGTAGTTTTTACAAAATAATTTTGGCAGTTGTGGTTGCCAGAATAATTTTGTAAAAAATACAGAAAAACTGTAAACACATTTATGGCCAAAAACGGTAAATTGTACAGTACAAAACTATAATTTACAAACAAGAAAATTTGAATGTAAACCAGTAAATTCAACAATGCACACTGCTATTAAAATCTGTTTTGTACCTTTAACATACTGACAATTTTTCCGTAGTGTTTTTACAAAATTTTACAGTTAAAATGACACTTATTTTTTACAGTGTAGCTGAACATCTCTAAAAAAATGTTCCTCCATGCAAGCTCTTTAGCTAAAACAATCTGTTTGTGGTGGATGCAGAAGATGCCCCATCCTCACACTTGAAAGCCACCAGGGTCATAATTTCACAGAATGTTCCATCACTTAACTGTACAACAGAATTGATCCTCTTTTAAAGAGTCGTGTTATTACAGGAATGATAAAGAACACTGCTCACTGAGAAAAAAAAATGTAATGCTGTTCACTTTATTTAAACAATTCCTTTTGATTTAACACCATTATATCAGGTTTCCCGTTCAAACACGACTGCATCATGTTGAACAGACTTGAAACAACTTTTTTTCTTTGTAATAATGTTTTTGGAGAAAATATGTTTGTATAGAATATAGGGCTATAGGTTATTATAACTAATTAAAAGCTAATCAAATAAATACATAAACAATAGTAAATATATTTACTATTT